TATATATATATATATATATATATATATATATATATATATATATATATGCCTGTATTATTAGGTAGCAAACTCCATGATGGTAGTGACCATGTCTTATTTATCTTTTTATCTTCTCTGATGTCTGAAACAGTATTCTGAGTAGGTACTTAATAAACATTCATTGAATTTATCTTAAGCATTTTAGGACCAGAAAAGTCATTGCCTAAAACCACAACCACTGGTCTCTATTGTCATATTTGGTTTGATCCAAAAGAGCAAACATCAGTGCAAGGGCCTATTTTTATTTTTAGTATCTGAAATTATGCACGGTAACTCCCTTCTTCAAAATACCCATTCTAGTTGTGTTTATAAGGTTAAGTGACATACAGAATTCAGGGCCAGGAAAAAGCAAGTAGACTATGGAGTAGTGGAAAGAGCATTGACTTGGAAGACCTGGATTCTTGACCCAGCTCCGTTACCATGTGATTTTAAGCAAATGTCACTTCTCTAGGTCTCTTCTCTCCATCTGTAAAGTTAGGCTGTGGATGGGAGTAATAGAAAGAGAACTAGTTTTGGAGTGATAAGACAGGTTCAAAACCTGGTTCTGCTACTTGTATGATCTTGGCCAAGTCATTTAACCTCTCTTGTTCTCAGTTTCCCCATCTGTAAAATGAGGAGATTGGATTAGATAGCCTCTAATGTTACTTCCACTCTCAAATTTATGATAAGGCAGATACCAGGTGGCAGAGTGGAAAGAGTGCTGGACTTGGAGTTAGGAAGATCTGAGTTCAAATCTTGCATTTGATATTTGCTAACTTTGTAACCCTGGGCAAGTCACTTAGCCTGTGTCAATCTCAGTTTCCTTGTCTTGAAAATGGGGATAATTGCACCTCCTTTATAAGGCTGTTGTGAGGATCAAATGATATAACATATATAAAATACTTTGAAAGCCTACTACTGTATAAATGCTAGTTATTATTAATTAGTATCAAGGTCCATTTTAACAATATATGAGCTTCTATAATTTAGATTAGGGGTCTATATTGATTAAATCACTTGATAACTGCTTGGCCTTTCACTTTACTCTACACATGTTGACAAAGTGCAAAGAAAACACTAATAACAGATCCCAACAGACAGCTAAATGTGGGGACTGATCTACACAGTAACTCACTGTCTGAGTTCAGGCATTACTGTTCTTTGCAGACTTAGGCTGGAATAGCTGACAAGTTCTCCAGGCCAACAATCAGAGTAAGGGGCATAAATTAATATGAATGGAAACAGCTGGCCATGACCTCAGCAAAGGAGAGAATTCACACACTCAGCTATTAATTTGATTTTGGAATTGAGATGATGACTAACTGTTATTTCTGAAGGTCTTGATGGACCCATATAGCACCATTTCCTTGAGGTTTCTGCAGTCTGACATAAAGAACACTTTTACACAGGAGTAAAATTGGAAGGCTTTTTACTTCTGTACCCGAAGAAGTTTATTTGGCTCACACTTTATGATCCTTCTACTTCTGGAGATATTTGCACTTCAATAAACTTCTAATAATCAACTGCTTTTCCATACTGAGCCCTGCATTCATGTCAAATTCTTTCATTTGAGACATTAATTGCTTCAGCAAAGGGAGTCCATAGGAGGGAGTCCTCCAAAATCCTTATAACCTCTGGTCACTAGAGTGAATGGCAAGGAAAAAATGTGGTGGGAAAGGAAAATGATCAACAATAGGGCTTCCTAAGATCACTGGATTTAAAGCTGGAAGGGACCTAAGAAATCTTCTAGGACAACCCATTCTCTTATAGTTGAGCAAATTGAGACCCCAGAAGTGAAAGAAAGGCTCTTGTCCTCTTCCCATGCCTTCAGGGATCCAACTCCTACTTGGAAATTGTGTCTCTGATCACACAAATGGTCCTCATCTAAAACCTTTCAAACAGGCAGTCTCTGGTTAAGACTCAGCAACTACGAAGCAAATGTCATTTAATGATGCCCATACCATATTCCTTCAGATAAATGTGGTGAGTCTGTGGTATATTCCTCTCACAAATACTGATCAAACTTTACAGACTCTAATTATCAATACTTGGTCCACCAACCCAACTACTCCATGCTCTCATTTATCTCTTTGCAGACGAGATCATCAGAGGCTGTGAGGACATTTATTTACTCTGTTGGTACACAAAACAATGTCCTTTGTCATTGTGCTTTAGGGACTATATAGAAATTTATTTCTCTGGCTGCATATCTGCATGCAGAAAAAAACCCAGGAAGTTACCTTTCTCTTCATTACCTAACAGAATGACCGTCTCCCTGAGTCATTTCCTCCCTTTCTCAATAACAGTTCCAAGCCCTATACCTTATAGCAGGGGTTCTTAAACTGGGGTCTATGAACTGGTTTGGGCAGGTAGGTGTTACAGTAGATAGACCGTAAGGGCTTGAAGTAGAAAAAAAAACAACCTGAGTTTAAATCCTGTCGCAGATACTTGCTAACTGTGTGATGCTGGGCAAGTTCCTTAATCTCTCTGTACCTCAATTTCCTCATCTGTAAAATGGAGACAATAATAACACCTACCTCATAGGGCTCTTGTAAGGATCAAATGAGTTAACATATACTTTGAAAACCTTAAATTACTATGTAAATGTTAGCTATTGTTATTTTTCATCATTTTGATAACAACTTGAATATAATTATTTTTACTTGTAATCCTTTTATTTTATGCATTTAAAAATATTATTCTGAGAAGGGTTCCATAGTATTAATTAGACTATCAAATAGCTCCATGACATAAAATTGTGTTTTCAGAACTAAAGTTGATCTTTTTTTTTCTGTCCTAAGGGTTTTTTCCTGCCACGAAACTTGGAACAACTGAAAGATACCCTTGATTTCACCAAAATAATTACCAAGAAATAGATTTTTCAACACAACTAGAGAGCAATATGTATAAAGGAAACTTTCAAATTTTCTAGGAATTTTTTTCTGGGTCTGTAACACACAGAAGGGACTAGGATCTGCTATCTGGATTGGCCCCCTATGTAAGGAGGAGGTTTAGGCACTTCCAAATTAATTGTGATTAAGACTGTGAGACATATGCTACTATGGAACCAACTGGAGACCATCTCCTTAAGATATACTCTCCCATCCCCAGCTGTTTTCTCTCCATCCCTTGTTACATCCTACAGTCAGTGATACTAAGGTAGCTATCTAGCTCTTCATGCCCGCTGGAACTTTGCAAGTTTGACAAGACAGAGCTACATTGTATTAGAAGATGGAGATTTCACTCTACTCTTCTTGTCACATGAACAGTATCAGACACCTCTGAAATCATGAGAAACACAAGCCTAACCTTTGAATGGCACTTTGCAGTTTACAACATAAGTGGCCTAGCCAGACAAGAACTGAGGCTGTCTCTTAGAAGAGTGTCTCAAAGCAACATGGGTAAGTTCCTATGATACTAAGCCAAATCAGAGTGTGCTAGGATGCTGTGGCTCCCTTCATTTTTATTGGGAAAGGGGCAAAATGTGTTGAAGTCTTGTCTTTTCAACTAGGTTGTAAATTCCTTGAGGTTACCTTTTATTCTTCTGTGTATGCACCATAATGCCAACCAAATTCGACTTCCACAATGTAGGCAATCAATAAATATTTTTTGATAGATTGTATTTTGTGCAGTCTACCCCTGCATCTTTCACAGATTCCTAGTATTTAAGGCTATGAGGGACTTCAGAGATAATCTATTCCAACCTTTTTCATTTTAAAGATGAGGAAAGTGGGGCTCAATACAAATATTGTGTTTTTTTTTTAATAATGAACATTAACACTCTGAACACTGGGATTTCTCCAGCTTGAGTTTACTAGAAAGTATACTAGCTTAGAATAAGTGCATCTAAGTTCTTAACATTCCCAGTCCTACTCTTGGATTTAAATACAGTTTCTGACTCCAAATCTAGTGGGGGGGTTTTTCTCCACTCTACCCCAATGGAGGAACAAATTCCCAAAGAGTAAGTCACATGTAAAGGGACAAATGGTATATGTAGTTTCTAACCTATAAGTGCTATATCAATGTGAATAGTTATTTTTCCTCTCATTTCTTCCTCTATTTTCAAAAAATATTTTGCTTCACTCTGAAAATCCAAAAGGCATTCTGAAAAGTTACTTAACATATATTATACTGCATGGTAGTAGTTACCAGAATGCCAGGAGTACTTGGTGACTGTCAACTTGGTTTTGAAGGGCTAGCCATTGGCTTCTTATTTCTGAAGTCCCTGACCAGTTAAAAAGGAGATGGAGGGGCTCCTTTTAATCAGTATAGAGCAAAGAGCCCCCAAATCCCTCGTCTAATTCTATCCCACAAGTGGCTTTCTGTCTTGTCCTGAGTAGACAACTGCTATACTACAAATGTTTTTCCAATTCTGGGGCTGGGATGGAATAAAACTGATGAGGTGAGTGATGAGCCAACTGCCCCTTGCTATGATTTACAGGACTGGCACCACAGTACTTGAAGGAAATTGTAACGTTGGAACTCAGTAAATGATTCATATTTTCCAGTATGTAAAACATACTTATAGTCAACTCACTGAGAGCTGAGGAGCTAATAGGTTGCCAGAGAGTCAAACTCTGGCAAACCTCAAACACATACAACACTGTGCAGGAGGTCGGGAGGGAAGGTAAAATTTGCTCAGTCTGAATAGTCTCTTGCTCTCCTCTCCTTCCAGCAACTCAATCTATGCACACCCACCCTGCCAGGAACAACAAAAGTGCCTGGTTTGCTGTCAATGATGCTCATAGACATTCTGAGGAACCATTATGTTCATAACCCATTAGATTAGAAACCTCTTCTCCCAATACTTCAATATAACAGCTGTAGGGGCAATCATTATTAGGCTAAGAGTTATTATTATACCCATATTCTATGATCCTACATCTTGGCCTCTGGAAGAATTCTGGGAAAGGGACAGAGCTGAAAGGAAAATGAAAGTCTTCTGGTGGTAGAGATATTAGGAATGGAAGTGTAGAGTCAGAGGAGAGATAAGCAAAAGCATTCCTCCCCCTAGTTACGGAGCTATTTGCTCATTGCTTAAAATATCAATTATAGCTAAAAAGCCAGGGCAAAGATGCTTCTGCACAGCTTAGCATTTATATAAAACTATGAAGTTTGAAAAGCATTTTACAAATATTATCTTGAGTCTAATTCTAGGAATTAGGTGTTATTATTATTCTCACTGTATAAATGAGGAAACAGAGGTAGGCAAAGGCTAAGTTACTTGCCTAGCATTACAAAACTAGTTCTTATCTAAGGCCACATTTGAATTCAGGTCTTCTTGACTCCAGGTCCAGTATTCTATCCACTGAGTAAAAAAAAAAAAAATGGCACTGCTGACTGTGGCAAAAATAACAGCCAGATCTTTCCCAAATGTCTCAGTAGGCTACTGCCTACCTGGTGTGATTTGAGGAGCACTGAAAAACTTGCCCTACCTAAACATCTCTCCCCAGATATCTCAAATTTTCCATGGCCTAAAATTCCCACCATTAGTTATTTTGTAGTCAACCATTAACACTTTTGTGAAACTTAGCAAAAAAAGAGAGCATGGTCTGAGAAGAAATAAGACGTATAACAGGAAAGGGTGGATTGAGGATTGGGAGCCAGGGAAGACAATGAGGAAGGCATGTCTAGATTATGGGGCACTGCAAATGAGGGCAGTCTAAGGTACAGCCTCATAGTGAAAGGGCCTGCAATACCGAAGGCCCCGAGAATCTTATAATAGGAAGAAGAAGAAGACAACAAAAGGACAAAAGAAAGAGTTGGAAATGATCTTCATCTGCTTCCCAGTTTTCTGAGGACAATTCCTATCTAAATTCTGGGGCCATGGCCCAAAGCCTCCAGGAACACCTGCAAGGTACCCAAAGGCGTCTCAGGGATTTAGCTCAAGCCTGGAAATCCCACCATCACTCAGGGGTGTCTAGGATAGGCCCAGCTACCCTACAGATCTTCAGCAGAGTATGTAAGGGAGGTTGGAGGGAAATATCTCAAAGTTCAGTACTATATATTCAAGGGCTCCAATCATCTTAAAGAGTTCTATGGATACTCAGTTCCATCTGTTGCCCTAGGATCTTTCCTTATGCTAACTGTGACCAAGGGACCAAGAGGGTTCTCAGTTTTCTCTACCATCCTCTTGGTTCTCTGAGACTGGGCTTGGTGTGATCCACCCAAGTCAATAGTAGCTTCATCCCAGGATCCACTCTGAGTCCCTTCTATATCTCTGATCTTCCTACAGCTATTACCTGCGTGAATGGAGGATGGGAAGGCAGACTGACACTGAATCACAATTGCCGAACAAAAAAAAAAAAAAAAAAAGATAGGTATGAACAGGAAAGTACAAAGAGAAGTTCGAAAGCTTTATGTGGGGGAGGAAAAAAACAAAACAAGAAGAGAGCCAGCTAGAAGGATCTGGGAGCAAAAACGTGATCTGGCTTTTATTTATTGGAGGAACCATTTAGGAAAATAATAACTAATTAATTCTGGGACTCTGATGTTGCTTCTTTCCTAGAGAAGCCAAGTAGTCAGAGCTCCGTTATCTTCCTCAGTTACTCTTAGCTGGAATGTTTAGTCTAGAAGGAATTAGTGAGTTACTAAAACTAGGAGAAAAGGGGGAAGGGAGGGGAGTGAGAGAGTATGCAGCAGCTTAAATCTTGATGCTGAATTTCCTGGCATCTGAGGTTATTTTTGTGCAATAGGTCACTGGAATGACTATGTTGTGATCTAACAGACTATAAGAGTTGGGTTTTATTTTTCAAAGCTGAGGGACCAGGAAGGTGGGGGGAGTTGGAGAGGAGGGTGACAGGATGGAGGAGAGGGTCAGCAATCCCCACTTTGGCCCTAAATTTAACAGTCTCCCCTTCCCACCCAGGGAAGAAACATTCATATTTCCTTACTGCTCAGGTTTGTCCAGTAGTTTAAGTTCCTCTTCTTTGGAGGTTTCATAATGTTTCCTTATTTTTATCAGCTCATCCTTCTGGGCTCTCTGTGATGAAATAACAAAATGGAAGAAATGAGAGGCTGTCTTGTAGAATCGTAGGATCTCAGGATTGGAAAGGATCTCAGAGATCCTATGGTCCAACCTACACAAATGGTTGGAGTCTGTATGACTATTTAAGCTGGTGGATAAGAACGCCTTCATATTTGGACCTGCTTTGCCTGCACTGAAAGAGATGGAGGCAGCTGGTTTTAAGGCAAAGTATCAGAGAGGAAAAGGTTCAGAAGTTGAGCAGCCAATGGTATCAGGTTGTATAGACAGGGATCCCAGATACTTATACCCCAGGTTTAGAAATGACTCTGAGACACACGTAAGTTTTCTCCCTTTATAGACATATTGTCATGTAAAACATATTGCAGGTATATGGTCCCTGGATGTTTTCTTCAAGGATTCTCTTCTGGTACCCAATATTTCAAGGATGGCAAAGTGGAAAAGAATGACAGATGACGAGTAAGGATGTCTCAGTTGAAGTTCTGGTTCTAACATTTTTTAACCCTGTGACTTGGGCAAGTCACAACCTCTCCAAATCTCAGTTAAGTATCTGCATAAAATGCATAGTAATAATGTACTACACTGCAAAGGGTTATAGTGAGAACACGTACTTTATAAACTTGAAGGTATTATGTAAATGTGATTTATTACTGTTTTCAGCTTAAAACTCTTTTTCTTCCTTTTGTGACCCAGAAGTTATATCATACCTGAAACTCTTTAGCCTTCTGCCAGGCCTCAAAGAATTTGTCAAGAATATTGCTAATCATTATATGTTTATTATCAGATATATTAACTATTCATCCTATTCATTCTTTTTCTTTGAAGATTGATAGCACTAGCCAAATCTGCACTTAATTATATATTGTTTCATTTGGAGTATATACAGAACAAGTGACTTCTTCAGCAAAGGAACTTTCACCATGGGAATTCCCACCACCAGTGTAGATTAGAACTCACCTATGATTTAGTACTCAAGTCTTAGGAAATTGCCTAAGTAAGCTAAGTTAAATGATTTGTCTGGGACTCCACAGCTAGTAAGTTCCAGAGGTGAGAGTTAAAACTGACTCTAAGCCCAGTCAGAGTGCCTCTCAATTTATCCACTATGCCATGCTGCAGCCTTATATGATCATAAATTATTTCGCATGTGTGTGTTGCCTTTCTAACTATGATGTGAAGTCCTCAAGGGCAGGGGTCAAGACTTGCACTTCTTTGTACGCTCTACAGCAACTCACAGAATGTTAAAACACAAGAACTATTTGCAGAATTCAGTGGAATAATTTCCTGAGCCCAAGAATCACCACATAACTGACAGATCCTCAAGTCACTTTTGGGGCACTCAGCTCCCAGGTCATTCATTTGGTGACCTGTTTCCTTTGCTTTTATATTCCCCCTAATGCTGAAGGATTCACTCACAAGAACGTGACTGTGTTTGCTCTGGCTTTTCTGGGAATCCTTCTCACCTGACTTGGATAAGAGACCTTTTCAACTAATATGACAAATAATCTCACTCTATAGCTTTATGAGTCATTTTACTTCGCATTTCATATCCATCATCTCATTTTGCTCTCATGAGCATCTCGAGGATTAAATTATTGTGTTGTTATTGAGTTGTTTCAGTCCTCTCCAATCCTTAGCAATCTCACTTGGGATTTTCTTGGCCAAGACACTGGAGTGGTTTGTGATTTCTTTCTTCAGCCCATTTTACAGATGAGGAAACTGAGGCAAACACGTTTAAGTGACTTGCCCAGGGTTACACAGCTACTAAGTAACTGAAGCTGGATTTGAACTCAGGTCTTCCCTAACTCCAGGCCTGGCACTCTGTCCACTGCCCTGAGATTAAGTAGCAAAATAGTATTATTATTCCTCAAATGTAGACCATTCAGGCTCATGGAGATTAAGGGATTTACCCAAGAGAATACATATGGTTAGAGGAAGAGCTAGTACTAGAACCCAGGTCTCCTGACAGTTTACTGCTTTTCCCATCAGACTAGAGTGTCTATGAAAGGTAGTTCCAACCTTGATCTTACCCTCCACCCCCAGCTTTACAATGTAAATGAGGTCTACTAGCCTGAGTATCACAACAGAAATGTAGGTGGCTCAATTTGTATTATCAACTCCACAGTTAACTACTCTCTCACTGGTGTTTCTTATGGAAAGTGATGATTAAAACATTCAAGAGAAATCATTTCTGAGTAATTTAGTCATTTTATTAATAAGGCCAGCATGTTTAATAATAAAGGATGGTCATTTGGCTGTGTCTCTCTTAGGCCAAAGACAATCATGGTGGTGGGCTCACAGTTTATATGCTCTTCAAAAAGTAGATGTTCCTGAGGGGCATCAATCAACTCTGATTGGTTAATACAATGGGAGGTGGGCTATATTAAAATGAAAGTCTTGGGGTATATGACCTGGGTCACCCAAATCTTGGTCAAAGAGACATCAATTTCCATAACACCTGTCTGACAAAAGGGAGAATCAACACTTCCCAGACCTGTCTGAGCAAACATAATGAGCGGGAATATACCCATTGGCCCAAATTTAGAATTTCTTTTACTGTCTGATTCAATCTTGGCCTGGATAAATCTTTAAGATAGATTTCCCATACTAGTTGGTTTCTGGATAAGAAAGTAAAAAAGGGGAAAAACCTTGGTTCTAATACAATAATTAATTATTAGATGCAAAAGAGAAATGCTCATTTCTCACAGGAGAATGGTATATTCTTGTGTCCAGATAAAGCTTATGGACATTTTTGAGGTTCCCAGGAAGAAGAGGTTATATGTCTAAAGGTTAATAAAAATCTCTTTCATCTTTTTTTTTGGTCTTTTTTTTTCGGCAGGTTTATTTGTTTTGGCCTGGACTTGTGATTTCATGTGTATAGGGGACTCTTGGTGTAACGGAAACACTTCTTCTACTAATGAATAGCGATAACTTGTTAATAACTGATATAGAACATATTAGAAAAAGATGCCTAGGAGTGCCTTTAGCAGAGTCACACTGCTACTTTATTTCAGAGGTTGGGCATGAACCCAAAGTCTATCTGACTTCAAGGTTAGTTCCACTATCCAGTATGCCCCTCTTGCTTTCTTGCTTCTAGCAAAGACTAGTAAGGATGAACATCTCAATTCATCAGGTCTTTGATACTTACATTTTCATACAGGGCCTCCAATGTTTCCAAATCTACCACGGAATCATCCACATTGAAAATTGCTGAGAGAGAGAGAGAGAGAAAGAGAGAGAGAGTAAAGTATTTCATTAGACCCCCCAAGCCAACACTTATTTCACTCCCAGTTTCCAGGCAATATAATATCACACATTCTCACACAAGCTATGCCTTTCACCATATTACTGTTCTCCTTCCCTTATCCCCAGGGGGCCAAAATGAAAGGAGCCAAAAACGGTTTCTATCACTGGCCTGCGCCCTTGCTCTGCCTCATTTAATTCCACAAACTCCATGTCTCACTGCTGTTTAATTTAGGCTCTGCAGGAGAAGTGTTTATGCTTTAGAACTAAACCAGGGTGTAGGTTTGAGGAACATTTTCTAATCTCTCTTCCTGGCCAGTAATTGAAGAGATTTAGTACCTAGTGTCACAGACCTGACTAAAGGATTCTTTCCCTTTCTTCGGGGAAACAAAGAAAATTTTTGTAAATTAAATTTATCCAGGCATGTGATTTCAAGCTGCCAACCCAACATCTTGTTTAGGTTACAAAGAGAATGAAGAACAAAATAGTGTTGATGGCAAACGAAGATTATGGCCACCTCCCAAATCCCAATCTTAAAGCAACCTCTCTGTCCCCCAATCTTATTACCACTTGAATTGTTGCACTGTAACCTAAACAAGGCATTTAGCTGCTACCTGATACTCTCTCCGTTTCAATTGTGTTCAATTTCTTCCCTTCAATGTGGGGACACAAACTTTGAGCTTTAAAAGCCCTTGTGGATTTGGCGATCCAAAATGTTTGAAATAGGCAAGGCTCACATCTTTAAATAATTATTCAAAAGTAATAAGGTTTCTTCTCCACCCCACCCCCCACACTCTGTTCCCTGATTTTACATGGTGAAATTAACCAGCAGGCTAGTAAATTTTCTCCATGGCAGGCTAATTAATTTTATTAAAAGGACCAGTGACATTTAGAATGCTTTAAAATTTTGCCTGTCAATTATTAATCTGTCCATTGGCATTACAACGTGACTCCTGGAAGAGGCAGAGGGGAAAAAATACAAACATGGTAAAGACCATCAAGGTAAGATTCAAGTTTACTTCAATTCATGTGGTTTTCTTTTCCAAGTTAGGACCTTATGAATCACTTCATCAAATGCGATGAAGCTATTCAGCTGTACTAAGATTTAACTCATTATATGATTCTAAGCAAAGACCTTAAATTCCTTGATTCACCACTCACTTTAACACCTAGGGTTGACCTGTGGCTTTAGGGATGTGGATGGGGAAAGAGCAGGTTAATATTTTAGTAACAAAGTGAGGCATCTAAGCTTTGAGCGAAACCCAAAAAGCCATATACTTTCACATAGACCAATCTGAAACCACTAAATGAAAATGCAGTCATCACTTGAAAGAAGGAGGAAAGAATTTACCCTCCCAGCAGGACTGTTATTTTATGTGTGTCAATAATAAGAACTCACTAATTTATCAGATGGAACATGCCTTTAAACCTCCGGCAACTGTTTAAATGAAATGGCCAGATACCTTTTCAGCCTTATGCAAATTCCATTACCTTTTTACAAAAATCAGCCAACAAAATTCGGGGAAAGGAAAGTACCCAGAGTATTTTTCTCACATCTAAATTAAAATTTCGATAGATCCTGATATTGTATTTGAATAGCAAAATTTAAAGGTTATTGTGTAAATTTAACCAGAGAACATATGAGTTATAGTGGCAATAAGCATCCATTCTTTTTTTCACTTAAAGATTCAATAATTTAGCAAGGAAATAAATGTCAACTGGCTATCCTCTGTGTTCTAGATAGAAGGAAAAAACATATGAACTATAAAGAAACTTCATTAGTGATCGTTAATTTCTCACTTATTTCCTTTACTTCCTAGAAGAGATGTCAAAAGGGAAAACTTCAACCACTTTGATTCCTAATAATGATGCGAATGCAACATCCTAGAACTGTACAGGATATAGGTCTTCTGCATCCCAGTTGGGGCTTTTTTTGTTTCACTATACTATAATGCCTCAAGCATCTTGAGGGCAGGAACCATTTCTTAGACTTCTTTATATACCCAAAATTTAGTCTTAAGGCCTCGCAGGTAATAAGCACTTAATAAATGCTTGTTGTGCAAAAGCACAGCCTATAAAATTTGAAGTATGTTATATTAACCCAGAAAACCAACAAGGAAATCATCACACCAGGAAAAAAAAACCATTCTCTGATATGACTTTGCGTTACCTGAGGTCTGACAAAATCGCATTTTCACCCTATTTTGAACCTATGCCTTTCATCTTGCTATTCCTACAAAATGAACAAATACCAAAACTCCAAAAAGCATAATGCAGCCAGCCTTAAGACCCTGATACAGTATTCCAGCTTTTGATCTATTCTTCATATCTCATTATACCAGCACTCCTGCAGATGGTGTCCGAAAGGTGAAGTGTCAGATCCACAAAGCGAAGATCAATCATTGCTGGGGGTGTTTACTTTTATCTTGCTCTCTCCTGAGCTGTCCCCCTCACACTGTCAGTTCAGTTAGAATACTTCACCTACACCTCACAATATGTCGAAAGGAAGTAGACACACGCTGTGAAAAGCTGGTAATTTTATTGGGTTCCTTTACCTTTAAAAATCTGTTACTTGACTGAGTCTGGTTTCTGAGCTCCTTTTTTGCAGGGAAATTGAGGCAAACATTTTTATGTGGTTCTCTGGTGCCTGCTCTCTACTACAAGAATTTATATACACAAGGATCATTAGCGTAGTGTTTCACCCATTAAGATATAATAACCGTCAACCTAGACAAAAAGCAGATCCGCATCATGCATTCAAACTAACAGGCACACATAAAACTATGTGCCAGTTCCAGGCACAGGCAGAGGGCCTTGCACAGAAGGTAAGTTTCCCTCTCAGGCTTAAAAATTGCTTTTCACAGGTTTGAAGGTAAGCAGAGTGAAAACTAGGAGTTCTCATTGCCCTATGGTCCATTTTCTCACCCTCAACACTTTCCAATCCCAAGTTAAACCAAGTTCAAAGACAAAGGATCAAGGAAGCTGCTGATAAGAGAGTCTAAATGGTGAAAACAAAGTTAGCTGTCAAATTTGATGGACTCTGCTATGCTTGGTCCCTTTTCCTAGAATCTCTGACTTACACACACAAAATAATTCTTACATACTCCATCATCTTCTATCATATGATTCTGTCTCTTCTCTTCACTACCTTGAATGCAATTGGTTGATAAATATGACAATAAGTCAATAAATATTTGACAACTGGTTGAATATATTCTCAGCAAAGAGAAGACTAATGAAACAGCCCAAACCTGCTAATGGGAAAGACTTTGCTAACTTTAACACCCCAACAGCTCACTCATAAACCATGTGAGGGCTACTGATGGGATCAGTTTCAACGATGTTTCATTATGAATCCCTATTTTTCTGCTCATTCTTGGGTTTTAAAATTGCTTAATTTGGGAAAGAAAGAAGGAAAAACCATGGAATAATCTAAAGGCCTAAAGTCAGAAGATCTAGATTCAAATCCTTCCTCTGGCAATTACTATCTATGTGTCCCTTTCTGGGCCTCAGCTTTCTCAACTATAAAATGGGGATGTTTGATTAGCTGACCTCTCTAGGTTTCTGTTCCTATGTTTCTGTTCTTAAATAACAGCAACAATAATATTAACTAACACATATAATGATTTAAGGTTTGCAAAGCACTTTATATATGTTAACTCATCTGATCCTCAGAAAAACTTTGTGATGTAGGTGCTATTATTATAAACATTTTACAGGTGAAGAAACCGAGGCACAGAGAGGTTAAATGATTTGCTCAGTGGCACACAGCTGGTGAATGTCAAAGGCCAGATTCAAATTCACTGCTACCCAGCTATACCAATTTATTACATCCCTCTACTGTGCCCAGAACATATGAGGAGGAGACATGTATCTGTCTTCAAGGGGGCTAATCCATAAATGGGATTCTCAAATAAGTAACTCCTACCTTTGCCATTCTACCCCATTATACTTCTATATGTATAATCAGACCCCTCTATCCCAGAAAAATAAAAAGTGGAGGAGGGGTTAGGATTTTAGATCCAAGGAAGGGTAGATATATTATTTTATCAGGTTTTCTGTTTCATTTATGTCAGTTCTGGCTTTAAGTATAATATTGGGGTCTCTATTAGCATTTTAAGTAAGACTACTAGGCCTTTGATTACCAGTAAATTTTTAGCACAAAAGAGATATTTTTAAGCCTAGAGTTTCATTAATGATCCTATTTTTGAACACCAGCTAGAAAAATCAGTTACTGGGGTCTAATATATGGAGGGAAAATGATTAAATAAATTGTGGCACATGAATGTAATGGAATATTACTATGCTGTGATATGAATGTGATAAATACAGAGAAACAGAGAGATTTATATGAACTGAAACAGAGTAAAGTAAGCAGAGCCAAGAAAATAATATACATAGTAACTACAGCAATGTAAATGAAAGAACCACAAAAAAGTAATTTTTGCAAAATGATGAAGAATAAGCATGGCTTGAAAGAAAGACATGAGAAGACATTCCCACTGCAGAAGGAGGTCCACAAGTGTTTTGCACATATTTTCATTCTTTTTTGATGTATCGATCAATTATGCTGAGTTTTTCTTCTTTTCTTTTTTTTTTGTCTTAAATCTACTTGTTTTTCAAGATAGTTCTTTAAAAGAGGTAGGGGGAGGAACGATGGGGGAAACTATGGTAATATAAAAAAGGACATCAATAAAATTTTATTTAAAAAAAAGAAAAAAATAGTGAATTCTGAATACTACCTCTTTTCTTCTTCAAATAGCATCTACCCTTTGTTTTACCTTGAACAAGAGAGACATTGACTAGGAGAGATAATGATAATTGTAAGAATAGGGAATGAGGTGATAAAGAGAAAGAGAGAACTGTATGGGAGAGACGCAAAAGCTACCCTGAGTGAGTAAGGGAAGGAGCCAGTGTTAACAGCTCTACAACTCTAATCTCCACATCATTTCTACAATATCATTATC